TGTGTGTGTGTGTGTGTGTGTGTGTGTGTGTGTTTGTAGTACTTTAAACAGCACTGAACTCAGATGCCTGAATGTATAAATTGGTTTTATAATTCAAAACCTTACTGAATTGAAACCAACTGTTGGTTGTGTTCATTTGTCCAACTTCTCTATATAATGATAATAGTTTTAAATCAGCAGAAGTCTCTTACAGGGGGATCAGTATAAAGTATATTACAGTAATGTAATGACTGAAATTCTTCCAGGGTATATGTTTCTTGAAGATATAACTTTATTTGGTCTAAGACTATCTTTCCAACTATTTTACTAATTAAGGAATGGACGGTTGGACGACAGCCTGTACTTTGTTGGCCAGTGCATTAATAGTTGGGGTCCTTAAGTTTTACACTTGATGTTTGAAGGCATTTGGTTAGATGCCAGCCACGTTGACGACGTGTAAGGACAGAATTAATCCATCAGTCAAAATATGCCTGGACAAATGTATACCAAGAATTTTTGTTTTACAGTTTATTCTGTGCTAATTCGATTTTAATCTTTCAGCCTGATTTTCAAATTAAATGTCATCATTTCGATAAGGGCAATGGTTCAATCCCAGTCTTCACCATCTGCATGCCGAAGTGTCCTTAGGCACTGAATCCCAAATTGCCCCTTTGCTTTGAGTGGTCATCAAGACAAGAAAAGCTCTATATAAATACAGACAGTCCATAATGTGAAATAGTCACCCTTGCTCCTCTTGCTTCCATTCTTGCTTGTGTAAGCTCGGCTGCAAAGCGACTCAATGTGAAAGCATCTTTGTTCAACCACGCAACACCTTCCATCCCTGACCTTCAAATACTTCCTCTTCATCAACTCTTTCTCTAAAATTAGAACTTCCATGTCACATTTGAAAAGGTAAAAGGACAGTCTATGTATGGCTTTGATTGGTGTTAGTCCTTAACGATCTCATACCACCATCACTCTTGCGTTTACATCCGACACCTCAGTCGCATATGACATGGTTTTAAGGACAATAGAACGAAATGCAAATTGTCATTTGTGACTCAAGTATAGATCTATACTTACAAATAGCATTAACTAATGACCAAGTTTCTGAAAGACAGTTTTCCTGTATTTGTAGACACTAAATCAACAGTGACTTTTCATCAGTTGGTACGGTACATGCAGTGGTCAGTGGATGAGCCACTGACCACCTGCCCATGTCTGTTTCCAAGACCCCCTTTACCATCTCTTTTCCAATCCAAATCCCAGCAGTGTACCCAACCACCACCAACAAACAGCTCAGCGGTTGCTCTTTGTGTTGCTCTTTTTGTCGGACATGGTGGAGCAACACACTTCATCACATTACACCTCTTGTTCCCTTCGACAAAGGAAGGGCGCCATAGGACTTACAGCACAGACCTCGAAACCCAGTTTTCTCTCATTTACCCCAAACCTAGATTCGATTTGGGATACGTTTTCCTCTTCAGGAAGTACACTGCATTCAGACATCAGCCCACAAGTGTGTTACTGCTCACACAACACATAAAGCTACATCTGCCCCAGTGCCTGTGTGTGTGTTTCATTATAATTTGCACCATTAGACATCCTTTCAACACAACCCAGACTTAATTTGTGAACTCTCTACAAATGTTCTGAGGTTGTGGGGCATGACAGCATTACCAAACATTAACAGGCAATGAACATTATTAATAGTGTCATTCTGTAGATGGTAGCTGATTACTCCCCAGTTTAAAAGGTGACAAAGAGCTGCCACAAAAGATGCACAAATGAAGAGGAGTCACTGTCATGGCCTGAGAGACACATACAGAGCTGAGATACCACTTGAAAAGGTTATGTGCTGGGTAATTTATGTGAAATAAATTGAATTTAGGTTTGTAGTTTTGATTTATGAAAATAAAAGCTGTTTAGTGAGAGGCTGATGTCTGGTTGTGTTGGGAGACCCTGGGTAGCAGTGGGACTTTGCCACAATGTCAAAAGAATCTATATGAATTTCAGGGAAGTCAAACTTAGAAATTACTGCTTCAAATGTAAATGCCTCAATTAGTAGGGATAGGATACACATATTCTGCAGTAGCAGTATTCTCATAACATGCAAATCCTGTTGATGAGTTCTTAATTGGATACTAAAATGTACTTGTTTATACCCATAATAAAAAAGTTTGAAAGTTTGAACCTTTGAAAGCTTTAACAAACAGCATTTTTCCATCACTGTATCTCATGTGTATCTATATGATGTAGTTTTGAGTTACTTGAGCGATATAATGTTTGCTCACATAGGAATCCCAGACCCAGTGGATGAATTAATTTAGCATTAACTAGAGTGTTAAGAACTCTGGATGCCAGAAATCCAGAATATTGTCAACAATAAGAAAACCTTGGGAGACTGGAGAATGCCCCCAATGCCCCTGGGGGTGGGGGTGATACAGTGATGAAAGAAGTAGAGCAGCTATAATTTTGTGAAAAGGGGAGTTTGTTTGTGGCCTGGGGGCCGCGCTGCCTGTCATCAACAAAATGCATAAAAGGAGCAGTGTAACAGTCAATCTGCTGTGCTGTAGTCACAAGCTATGTGCTTGCAGGCAGGTCACAGTGAGGTAAGCAGGTACCCAAATGCAGGAGACGGGTTCAGGTAAAAACAATAAAACTCTTTATTCAGGCCATGGCTCTTCAACAAAAGCAAGGTCATAAAAGTCTAAATCCAAATATTCTAAAATAAAACACACAACTAGTGAAACAAGAAGAACAAAGCTTCAAAATAAAACAGAAACAGATCTCAGAATGAACAACCAGCTCAAACAAGTCAAACAATTCCAATATCAAACGTGTCCAACAAAAATCTAGAATAAGTCCAACAAGGTACAACATGTTGCCATCCTCTCTTTAGTTCTGGTATCTTATATTTGATGAAAGAAATGTTTTGTTTTTGCAGCAGACCTTTATTTTAGCATGCTCAGCAATCAATCTGGGCTCTGATTTTGTGCTTCGGGTCTTTGTCTACCTGACAGTTAATTTTATCCTATTCTGGAGTGCTGAGATGTTCATCTGCCTCGTGGATTCTGCCACTACCCCTGGCCTGGTGCACCACCTGAAATTGCTACCAAGCAATTGACTCTAACTCCGGATTATTTCAACTTTGACCCTGGTGGCCGCTAACCTTTCTGAGGACAATCAGCTGAATGTGGTTTTTGATGATTATTAACCTTTGCCTCCGCGTGTGTGCAACCTACCAAGAGATGAGCAAACACAAGTTTGTAATCATATTAAGGCAACTTTAGACAGATCGTTGCCCGAGTCTCAAGTTACCTACTCTCTGAAGGTTCTCTTCTCAAGGCCACTGTGATCCACTATAATAGCAAAGGAAGTATGTGCTTCCTATTAAAAGATTGCCCTGGGAAATGACTTTCATTATGTATTTATACAGCACTTCTCTCATTTTATCAAACACTCTTTACGGTACAGGTCACATTCAAGCAGTCACACATTCAGACGGTGGTTGATCACACACACAAACATACGCTCACCCACTAATGGTGTAATTTTGGGTTCGCTATCTTACCAAGAGCATTTCAATATTTTTTCTGTTATCACAAATTATGTTTTTCACATTCCTCAAATGTGTCCTCATTGCTTTGGTTTTGCACCTGGAAATTAAAAATGTTTTGGTTCCTTCTGCCGCAGCACATAGCAGCTTTTTTTTTGACCCTTATCAGCATTCTCTGACTATAGTGATGACAGGGAGAGTTGAGGAGTTTATCAGATATTCAAAAGCAACACATTCAGCATGGGGAGGAGGTCGAGTGGATGGAAGGGTCAACAAAACAGCAGACTTTTACTTGGGGAGAAAAAACGTTTTTGTCATGGTTTTCATGAGGATGAAGTTCCCCAACCTTATTGAAGCCATTTCAACGTAAGCCACGTTTTATCCCTAAATCCTGACAAATCAATTTTGTATCCAAACCTTAACCATACAAGGATCACACAATGAAAGTGATTCATTGGCATAACAGTGATTTGTAATGGTTTTAGTAGGCACAGACAGATGATGTCTCAGGGACGTAATATCAGAAACTGTTGAAAAAAACCAACATACTTTCTTGTTTACTTTGGTCAACTTGTTGAATTTGACAGCTAGCCAGAACAAGCTCTACAGAGGTTTTTTTTCTTTCAACAGCATGCAACAACTTGTGATTTTATGACACTCCTGTAATCACAGTGTATCCAATTTTACAAAGGCTATATTCATGTCAGCAAAACAAAATACAATGGTAACTAAAAGTCATCTTTATATAAAATAAAGAGCAGAAATATATATATACATAAAAAATGAGCTGAAAGAACTGAATAGAGATATTTTCGGTTAGACTGCTTGTTTATGGTAGATGGGCACAATTATACTAAATAATATAATAAAGATTACTCTTTTTTATGTATGTATATATTTAATACTCACTAACAAATGGACTGTCCTTTAGTGGAGCTTTTCAAATACCCAAATCAAGAAGCCATCTGCAGTTTTCACAACTTTAAACTCAGCAGGTTTAATTCATGAGTACTTCATCTGTAGTGTAACGATAGCGCGACCATGAACTGTATGATGTCAGCTTTTCCTCTCGCCTTGAATATCCTTATTCTCTTTTGTGTTATTCTCCCTGTTGTTCAATCTGAAAGCAAAGAGTGTGTTGAGGTTACAGGTTGGTTAAATAAAGTTTTTTTGTTTTTTCTCTCGTTGTTTTTGTAGTATGACTGTAGCGATGAAGTCCCAGGCCAGGTGGGATGTGATGGACAGGACCGAGGTCTTCTACACAGGGGTAGCTCTCATGGGGCTGGGCACCCTACTGGTTGTCAGCAGCTTCCTCGCTCTGGGATTCACTGGAACTTTCCTAGGTGGGTATCAAAGAACAGGATTTAAACTCATAACATGAAACAGACCAAATTTGATTTCATCAAAGCAATGTGGAATCATTCAAGTTGTTTTCACCACCATTACTGATGAAAATTGACCTTATACAACAATTACATGAGCACTCTGAGGTCATTATTTCATTATAACATGAGCACCAGGTAGTCATTACTAGATGATACTAGACGATAGCCACATGTTGCAGCCTGTAATCACCATTCGAGAAAAAGGCTTTGGGATCATATTCAACTTGGGAAACAAAGGACCAAACATGCAGGGGCAATTAGATGAGAAAAGACACGTGAACACATTTGTTTCCATTTATACAACCATGCTCTATTCCATCCACACTTCACATAATGCATTAGCAAATATCTTAGCATCTGCCTCTGAGATAAACATGTTTCTTTTTTGTTGTTATTCTGTTGAATAAATGAAGGTGTTGATTCAAATGAGCATGAGCTTGACAAATTGGCACTGGTAGCTTCTAGGTAAATCACATCAGTGAGTCATTTTCAAGATCCAGACTTGATGTCTCATCTCTTGCACCATCGTTGTCCATCACTAGACTGAAATGTCCTCAGTCCACATCTCTGTCTCTAATCACCAATGTGATGACAGAGGGGAGGCAGCCGGAGCAGCAGAAGGAGACAGGATTTGGCAGGTCGTGTGTCTACTTCATATGCAGATCTGGTCAACCATCCACAAGGAAAGTTGGCATGGTTTAATCGCCAAAGTTCATAGAACACAAAACGTGAGCAAAGCTTCTTGTCAAGGATGACAGTTTGACTAATGAGAAGGACGAGAAACCAGGCCCTGCCAGTTTCGGCCAATAAGCAGGTTTCCTTCGGACATGTGAACAAAGATCGGGGGGCAGAAACCAGAGAGTACCGCTGTAAATGGTGGTGTGAGGAATTGAGAACAAATCCTAGGAATTGCAAAGTTAATGCATGCTTTTTCTTTTTTTTTGTTCATAACAAAAAATAATATTTATTAATAGTTTTATTTTAGTTGAAGGGGGAAAAATAACAAACACAAACGTTTGTATATATATTCTTATATGATGGATGGAACTGCTTCTCTTTGGCAAGGTGTCCAATGTCCGACAGTAGTGATGATGATGATGCTCCTCACAGAAAATCTGCGGATATCTCATGCTTATGTTAACAGTACATCAGCTTTGGTCCATATCACCAAAGGTTCCTGTCTCGTCCTGGTTCTCGTCTTTGCAAGTTGACATCTTTGTCAATATTGGCATTCATGGCATGTTAGAAACATGATCAGGAAAAAGCCCTAGAGAATGTGCAATTTTAGTCTCAAATGCCACCCAATCGGATCAGGAGAATGTTCCGAGGTTATATGCATGTAAGAAAGCAGCACAGTCGATAGACCTTTTAGCAGTTTAGGCTATCAGGCACATCAGCTGGATCCACATAAACAAAGTATTAACAGTTCATTTTGTTTATGTTTCATGTCCTATAATTGCTTAAGCTCGTCACCAAATGCCTTCCAGTGGCTCCATGCATACAAGACACAGCACTATGTGCATGTTGTGTTCTCCTGATGATTTGACACGCATACAACTGGAAAGGATTTCTTTCATCACGGAGAAAACATTATCATCAAACCGTCTCCAGGCCAAATGCCCCCCACCCCTGCTCTGTCTATATCAATAGGACAAGCTTTACATTCACTATCCTTGCTGTTTCCATAACTTTCAACCATATCACATGGTCTTCAACAAATAAACTATCACGGAGATGAATTTGTCTAAATGCTAGCTCAGTAGCATTTTCATCCGAGTTTGCCCGAACTTTCAAGGCATTGTTGATGGTGTAGTCCTGGTTGAATGAATTTGATGCCATGCGGTATCAGACATCCAGAATTTTCTTCAGAAATCAAATTGAACTTGTAAACCTATGTTTAAACAGCATTCACTCATCATACTCCTCAGTGCAACAGGAGCGAAAACAATAGCAATAGTGTATCAACTCAACAAAAAGGTCAGTGATTGATTTAAAACATTTGGAATGTGGGTGGAGATCCTCACAACATTTCTCTGACATGCTGGAGCTACCTACCAGTGATACTGTATGACCTTTTCATTTCTTATCAGTCATTGTCAATACAATTATGTCAGAATTATCTTTACATATTTATTTACTTATTTTACTTGTTTTATCTTAGTTAGGCAGTGTGTGCCTGTGCATGGGATTTACAAGGATTGAAACACAATACACCAGAACTGTTTCCATGAGCCCCCTAAAAATACACACACACCCTCACATTTTGGAGGATATAGCCTGTGGGTGTGTTATAATTTGATGTGTCTTATTTGTTCTATATTAATCCCCTTGAGACACCGTGACCCAATGATTCAAAATGGTGGCACAGGGGCATAAACAAAGGTCTAAACAAAATCAAATTACCCATTGTCTTAATGTGCGGACCAGCTGGTCCAGGATCCATACTCTGATCACAGACTCCCTTTTCTAACCTCAAGGACAGACACAGAGCAGTCATCACCCTGCAGCAAATCTAGGTTGGCCATTTTTTATTACCACAATGAAACAACAGTGATGCAGGAACATGTTATGCTTGACTTTAAAAACCGGTAGTCACTTTGGGGTCAAAAATGAGGTTAGTATATTGTTCTGAAAGCCAGTTACAGCTGGTTTTCTATTCAAAAACCAAACACATTTGTTTATATAATCTCTTTTTATCTCACCCTGCCTGTGTGTTTAAATGAGCATACATAATGAAAATTGTTATATAACTCGGGAATCAACAACACCAAATGCAATTCAGCAGGTTGGTTTTACCCGCTGGAAAACGGTGCATGTAAATGTGTGTGTGTGTGTGTGTGTGGGCAGACGACGGAGGCACCTGGAAAGTATTTAAATGTTCATGTCCTCTTACAAGTAAAGTAGGTCAGATTGCATATGTTTGTGTGTGTGTGTAAGGACAATACCTAGTGACCTTATTACATAGCAAGCAATAGTAAGTGCTCAGGTTACAGGAAGCAGTGCCCCAGTTCCACTGCCTCCAACATTACTATGGGCTCAAGAGCCCCACTGGACAGGTAACAACCCACACGAAAGAAATATTTTAAATGTATTAATGAAAACAGTCCTTTAAGTGTTAAAATAACATGAATTAAAACTAACAATTGGTGGGAAAGTTATGCTAATGTTAGTGTACACAGTTGCTCGGCTATCAATTTGGAAGCCAGTTGACCTAGTTGGCTAACTTTCACCTCTTCAGAACAAACTCAACAGGAGATCAGGTCAAATATGGCGTGTTGTGATGGGACATCTATCTTGAATCACTATCAGTTCAGCTTGCGTGGTGCAGTGATGGCACTTAGTTGTGTTTTCCTTCTACCTTCATTGTATTAGGAGCTGTAACTGGACTGTCTTGATGGGGTTTTTTTTCCCGGTAAAGCTGTAACTGGAAAAGCATGATTCAATGAGGACAACATTAGAACACACCCGAGTGCCGTCAGGGACAGATAGGGCAAGTTGACAGCAGGTCTCCGAGCAACACTTGCTTGTTGAGCATGTTGAGCAACAGCAGCCATGAAGCATCCATCCAGAAGCTTAAATGTTAGGCACTGAGTTAACACTGTCTCATTAAAGAATATCACCAGGTCTATACCTATACTTCATCAAATTAACATTTTCCTGCTCATTTCTTGCTACAATATTCAAACTCACATGAGGTCATCTCCACGCGGCCATATTGACATCAATAACAGCCCAATGACAGTGGAGCTGCCTGGCCGTGCAGAATTAACAAGGCCGTGTGGTGCCAAAGTCAGTCTGCTGCTGTTTTGTCAGCAATGTGGCAAAAATGATTGGGGAATGAAAGCAGACAGAACTCGCTCTTGTCTGAGTTCAAAACCAGACATTACGGCAGATGAACAAGTTGTAACCATGGGGACGGTGTGAAACAGTCCACCGAGTTCGGCACTGAATCCCTGTCCACCTGGAAACTGGAGCCTGGAGACAGAATTGGAACCATTTCATCTTCAGAGACACTCGCGTCTATCACACCAAGGTGTCAGATTGAGGAAAGCCAGTAAAATTGTTGCAGTTGTGAGATGCTGTGTGTTGTGAACCCAAATGTTCTCTTCTGAACATGTAAAAACATTAACGTGATGTGTGTGTATGTTTGTATTTTTCAGGTGATTATTTTGGCATCCTGATGGATGAGAAGGTGACAGGATTTCCCTTTAACATCATAGAAAACCCGATGTACTGGGGCAGCACAGCCAACTACCTTGGCCTGGCACTCATGTAAGTGTGTGTGTGTGTGTGTGTGTGTGTGTGTGTGTGTGTGTGT